ATACCCTCAATAAACTCTGGTGGTTCTCTATTACCTCCAGAATCAAATAAAAAAATTAAAATTAAAAAAATTATATTTGACATTCAAAGCCTTCACAACCTCTCCCCATTTAACCTTTCCAGTCTTCTGATGCCTTATTTCCCTCCATGTATTCTGCAAGCCAGTGACCACCATCTTCCTTACTATTCTTTGAATAAAATACCTCATCTTCTGATTCCAAGTTTTTTCACTGGCTCTCCCTTATGCCTGAAATGTTTTCCCTCCCATCTCCACCTCCTTTCTTACCTGGCTTCTTTCAGGTCCTAGCTAAATCCCATCTGCTAAAGAATCCTTTCCTGGAATGCCCTCTGGCAATTCACCTCCAATTCATCTTACTTGTACATAGTTGTTTGTATGACTCTTCCCCATTAGACTGTGAACTGTTTCTGTCTTTCTTTGTATCCCTGGCACAGTGTCTGGGTATAAACATTTAATACATGCTTGTTGATAGGACTTGACTATATATTTTTATATGTACTTACCTTCTTCAATAGAATGTAAGCTCCTTACAATAGGGATTATTTCATTCTTTGTACTTTTACCCCCAAGGACAGGGGTGGGGGATTGTGGCCTCTAGGTCCTCAAGTGCAGCTCTTTTGACTAGAAAGGGACCTAGAGGGCCACGCATGGCGTGGTGTCGAGGCGCAGATTCCCCACCCCTGCCCAAGAATCTAGATCTGTGCCCCGCCCATACTAGGTAGTTAGTAATTACCTGTTAATTAATTGATTGATCCCATCTGAATAAAGAAATCAGCTACTTTAACTTCCCAATTCCTCATTCTACTTCCTTCCCCGACCTGCTCCTCTAAAATTCAGCTTCACACAGAGAAGTCTTGTGATCAATCGCCCCCAACATTCCCCTTCTATGTCATGAACTCCATTCAGTCTCCTTTCCTCAAGACTCTCGCCACTCCGATTCACCCTTGAGTCAGCTACCGGGGTGATTTTTTCTAACGTTGAAGTCTAACCATGCCACCCCTGCCCCCTGCTGCGCAATGAGCCCAAGTGGCCCCTATTATCTCCAAAAAATCCTTTCTATTTAAAGTTCTTCATGACCTCACCTTACAGTTCTTCCTACCTCTCGAGCCTTCTTAGATTTTACTCCCTTCCATATGCTCTACAATCCAGTAATTGAACCCTAGGTTATTCCTCACATGCAATACTACATCTCCCAGACTTTGGTTAGCTTCCATGCCAGGATTGCTCTGTTTCTTCACTTCTTAGTTTTCCCAGCTCTCTTCAATATCTCCTGCAGGAGCCCTTTTAAGACTGACTTTCCCCTATTCCATATCTCTTGCACATGCATAGTTTTTTACTTGTTGTCTCTGCAATTGGAAGGTGAGTTCCTTGAGGCATGGTGGTTTTCCCTTTCTTTGATGGCTTAGCATCGCTCCTGGCCCTTAGTAAATACTTGAGGATTGACTGATTGAAACCCTCAGTTGGCTAGCTAGCTAAACACTGCTAGTTTGTGGACTGTCTTTCCAGCAGTCTGGCTCATTTATGTTCCCCTGGTGTTCATGTAGATCTTTGGCATTGCTAATATGTAACCCCAGTGTGTTCCTCTTCCAGTTACATAATGACATTTCCATCAAGCAAGGTTTTCGGACAGTTTGTTTTCTATCCTTTTCTTTCAATAAATCCCCCAGAAGAAGATGTCAGGGTGATTTGATTTCATGCCCCACAGCCATCCCCAAGGGCAAGATGGCCTTACACTAACATTCTAAAACTAATTATAAATTTAATGAGATGATCTGATTGTGCAATTTGATTAAACATAAGCTTAACAGAGCCTCTGAAATTTTAAAACATAATGTCGACACAGGAAACATCTGACTCTGCATTTTGTACACATAGAAATATGAAGTAAATAATATTCATGGAAAATAAAGTTTGTCAAACCTAGAGAAAACAGATGGCTCTCTCCTTGAACACAACTACCAAATTATCCCTTTCTCTTTATAGTTTACTTCTTATGTCTCAATGTCTGTTTAACGAAGAAAGTCATGATAATTTCAATTTTTTTATAAAACTGTAACAAAAACATTCTAAAACAAGGTAAAATCTTCACTATATATGAGAAGACAAAACTGAAAGTTAAAACGTCTAAATATATAGAATTTCATGCCACAGAAATAGATTGTTGTTCCTTTGTATAAAATCCCTTTCTTCATTTCAAAATGTACTTTCTTCACTTTCTCTATGGTCTATCAAAATGCTCATCTTTTTATCATCAAAATTTAGGTATTTCTGGAGTCAATGAGAGATACTGATTCCATAACCATCGATGAGCTGGCCCTTTAGTCATTGGATAAGACTATTCCTAAGTTTACATCATAGCCTAAGTAAGTCTTAGAGCTTTGAGTTCACCAAATCATTTGGCAAGTTAGCTGAGGTTCCTTACAACTCCTTGTTTGAAAGTCTAATCAAATTAGTTTTGTATTATGGGTATATAGTGTTTCACAGCTTACAAAGTGCTTTCACATGAATTATCTCATCTATTCCTTACAACAACCCCAAGAGGTTAAGGCAGTTATTATTATTATTATTATTATTATTTTACAAATGAAGGAACTCAGTCTGAAATGTTATTAGCTGTAACATAGCTAATAAGTGAGGTCTCTTCTTAGGAAAGCTTTTGCAAAGTTTTCATGATCTTTCTCCCTGTGATATTCTATCTCCTTCAGATTTTCAAATAACAATGAAAAGGACAAATATAACAAGCAAATAAAAGCAGTTCGCTAGTTTTTCCAACAAGTCATTTCTCAGCACCCCCACCCCCAAAGTCCTCTAAAACTATACGTTATAGAACATTTGCTGGTCTGCAAATAGAATAAGGAGTTTCCTACAACAGTGTAATCACAAGACAAGACCAGGGATAAAGGAACATGGGATGAATGAAAGTTTAAACCTATATAATTGGGAATACAGAAAAATGCTATTGCAGGGCAACTAGGCAGCTCAGTAGATGGAGTACTGGGCCTGGAGTCAGGAGGACTGGAGACAGGAAGATCTTCCCAACCAGACACTTCAGACTGTAAACACCTTGAGGGCAGGGAGTGTCTTTCTTTTTCTTATTAGTATCCCCATCACTTAGCACAGTGCATACAGCAGGGGCTTAATAAATGTATATTGAACTGAATTGGTTGCTGAGTGACTTCTCTTATTCTCTGCTTCCATTTGTTTCTCTGCTCAGCCTGACACTACTAAAAAGCATCTGGAGCATTTTCAACCTTAGCTGATAAAGTTCTGGAATCTGTCCTTCTCCCTTTCTCTCTCTCTCTCTCTCTCTCTCTCTCTCTCTCTCTCTCTCTCTCTTTCTCTCTCTCTCTCCCCCCCTTTTCTCTCTCTCCCCTTCTCTCTCTCTCCCCTTCTGTCTCTCTCTTTCTCTCTTTCTCTCCCCCCAGATAGTTATATTTGACTCATAATCATACCACAGTTTTGCTATCCATATCTCCCCAATTTATAACATTCAGTTCATCAGATTCAAAATCATCAACTGCTTGTCTCCCAACCAGATCAATCCCCAGCAACTAATTCTATGAGAAAACCCTTTCTCTCTGGTCAGACTTAACTCAGCAACAAACATTAAAAGGATAATACATTAAATACCATATAAGGATTCCCAGTTATCAAAGAACTGAAATGTACTAAAATATAATTAACCTTAAAACTATACTGAATCTAATTTAATCTTTTTATTTTAAAAATAAAAATGAATCCTTTTAATTCAGAATATGCTTAGGTGTCCTGTGAAATTTTAGTCATCATTATGAACATATATTATTATTTTGCTATAGATTTATAGAAGTGCTGGTCATTAAAGTGTTCTGGCTAATAAGCTGCCAAATCACCAAGCGCATCTATACTTCAGAAAAATCCAGCTTCTTATCTTTGGATTATAGATTGATAGCTTGAAAAGACCTTGAAGGCCACCTAATCCAACCCCCTCATTTTACAAATGGGGAAAGTGAGGCCCAGACAGTGTAAGTGAAGACTTGCCCAAGGTCATACAGGTAAGCATGGGAAGAAGGATTTGAACCCAGAGCCAATGCTTTTTCACTGTTTCATACATATGTGAATTTTTAATACATTTTTATGAATCCATCCCATATGCAAATCCAGCACCTTAGTTTTAGAAAGGTCTTAAAGTCAATCATTTTCCTTCTGTCTTAATTTAAAAATAATTATCAATTTATACAAAGCCAAGATATCTCCTCTAGCAAAGTCAGGTAGAATACAGTATAGGCAATATTGGCAGGACTCATCAATAGTAATGCTTAAAATGCTAACTTCAATGGGGAAAGAATAATGTTGGTGGCCACGGCTCTTGAGAAAGGAACGTTCTATTTCTAAATCATAGAGACCTTGAACTACTGGAAAACCAACTGTTAACATTTAAAATGTATGAGCCTTTTTTTTTTTTTAGGAAAAAATGCTATATTGACCCACAAAGGAGCCCACATTGCATCGAGATAAATTTAAATCCATGATGCAATGGCAAGTAGACAATTATATCAACACAAATTCACATTCCTAAAAATGATAAAAGCAACAAAAAGTCATATAAGGAAAGGAACCAACATATTGGGGAAAAGGGTTAGGGTTCTGTTTTAACTGATATAACAATGTTACCAACTTTATTTACCATTCTTGGTCTAGATTTTCTTCTTTTGTGTAACACAATAAGTACATGTAGCATTGTTTAGGAAATAAGATGAAGTATTTAAGAAAAAAATGTAAAGTCTGATTAAAACACTCATGGTATTATTTAATTTTCGTCCTGTTTTTTCTCCAGGCACTGGTCAAATTCTTGAATACTGTCATTATTATTATTATTACTGTCATAGTTACCATTGTAAGTGAACTTTTTTCTCCTATCTTTTCAGTCCTGGTATATACAGAATAAATTTAAGAAGCTTAAGATAAAACAGGCAAAGCTGAAAGAAAAGGCAGAAGGATACAATCCCTTCCTGGAAAGAGGATTTTGTGGCGAACCATTTCTCCCATAATGCATCCTACAGACCATATATCCACTAGAACAGCAGAGATTCGGGAAGTGAAGAAGGGGAGGGAAAAAAAGCAAAGTTAACTAAGACAGTTTATTCTTAAAAGGAGGGGGGAGCAGGTTGATCATAAAATACCATTTTTTAACTTCCCACATAGCAAGGACCAAAAGAGAGCAGAAAGAATTCAGTAGCTAAATACATGGATAAAATAGCTGCAATTGTGAGAACTTAGATAAAATCAATAAACAATTCTTTCTTATTTTGAGTATTTCATTTAAGTTAGATGAACAAGCTTTTTTTTTTTCCTAAGAGATCTTCTCTGACATTGGTAACAGGTAAATAAATCTGGAAGAAAAAACCCAACCCAGACAAGCTAAATACCATTAAGATCAATCAATTGAAAGGGTATTAACATTAAAGATATCTGTAATCTTTCAAAACAAAGCAATCCGCCGATAAACTACTGAACCCAGCTCAAGAAAGGATTGTTGTGCTTTTAAAATAACTATAAAATAACTCTGAAATAACTATTGCTTGAGTATGACTCTTTTATCTTTATCCATAAGGGGAATGAAGAGAATATAAATCAACCTGAGTAGGGGATTAGTGCCATTTTCAGAACTGCCTAAAAAGAGAGTGTGCTCACAATTGGAGTTCACCAGACTCGGGCTTTGAAAAACTGTAAAACCAGCCTAAAGATCTCTGAAGAATCCCAACCCCTGATTGCTCATGGCCTTACCCTTCCCTCACGGGAGTTGGCAATATTTATGGGACAAAATTTAGGCACTGTTCTTCCATTTTTCATCTTCCAAAAAAAGATGATCTAAGTCAAAATTGATAGTAACAGAGCATTTTTATCACAGAGGCAAAATCAATTTGCCTCTTTTTCTTATCCTGATTTTCCAGAAAGTTTATTTTGCCAATGAGAACTCTCACTGAACTGCTTTTATAGGTTCTATAACTCCCCCCCCCTTTTTTTACTCCCTTTTATTATGTAAAAAAAATTAAAGCAAGGAATTTTTTTCTAAAATATTTCTTTTAGGAAAAGAGGGGGAAATAGTGGGTGCTTAGGATGGTTGGGTTGTCTGTGGCATATGAGGGATAAACAGCTCCCTTCTGCCTGAAAGCGTCCATGCTTCCAAGGAGAGTAGAGGACCAGATGTTTGTGCTTAGTAGATCTGATACAGTCAGCTACGAAATAAAATATAAATTTCTAAGTCACTAATTTAAGTGCTAATGAGGGAAAGAGAAGAGTGGGAAGACCTCATGTCAACGTTACTGCATGACTCTGAAGAAAAGAAATGGAAGAGGCGAATTTAGGTCTTCAATTACACTTTCCATTCTCGTCTTTCTTTTTAAAATTAGTTTCCCTTTAATCTAGAAATTTTATTTTGCTAAGTTTGAGAAGATTCCCTCAACTTACCTCATCCTCACCTCTGGCTTCTTGTTTTTCCAATAATACATACTTGCCTTTACTTATTACTTGAAGAAAGGACTAGAATTCCACTATCCTTAATAAAAATGTCTCAGAACTCAGATCGTGCTGCCCTTAGTAACTGTTATTGTCAAGATTTTCCAATCGGCTGGACAATTTTTTCTCTTCTAAGCAAATGCATCAAAATACCATCCAGAACGTGTTTTCTCTAACAGGTACAACAATTAATGTTCATCTGCAGAACTAAATGAGAAGTCAATGACGTTTTTTCATGACAGACAATAAAAATCGGAGTGAAATGAAAACTTCATGGGTATTCATTTCATTAACAAACTAAGAAGGCAGTTGCTCTTTTCTTAACAATTACATTTTTTTAAAGGAAGGAAGGAAAGAAATAAGCATTTATTAAGTGCCTACTATGTGCCAGGCACTGTGCTAGGCACTTTACAAAAATGATCTCAATCTATCCTCACAACAGCCCTGGGAGGTGGGTGCTATCATCCTCATTTTACAGGTGAAAAAACTGAGGCAATGATTAAGTGACTTGCACAAAGTCACACAGTTAGGAAGTGTCTGAGTTCAGATTTTAACTCAGTTCTTCCTGACTCCAGGCTCACTGTTCTATCTACTGCACCACCCAGCTGCCTCTAAAAAAACAAAACAAAACTGTCTTTTAAAATGAGAATTATATAGAAATAAGTACTGCAGCAGCCTTTTAGCTATGAGTTTATTTCAATATACTGCCTTATATCCAAAGTTATCTGGTCAAAGTGACATGGTAGGATACTGCCTAATTGAAGTTATATTTAATTAATTAATTGCATTTCTCAGTTAGCATAATTTTATTTGATAGATTCAATCTGGAATATATTTTGGAGATATACTTATGTCTGATAATTTTCATAAATACACATTTTATTTTAATAAAGAGATTTTCTTGAAGGAAACAAATAGTATAACAGACATCTATTCTCAGTTGAAAAAATTTATTGTATTTTTCTAAACAACTGAAGTCTTTAATTTCACTGACAGGAGCATTTAATAATTAAAAATGACTTCATATCCTGAACAATTTATTCTGCTGACTTATTATGGGAAAAGGAAGATGACATTTCTGCCAAAGATTTTGGAAATCTGTTTTTAATTCCTTATTGAATCATCTATCTGTGAAATGGGGAAAAGACAATGGATGTAGTTTTTTTTTCCTTCTTTGAGATTCCAAACTGAAGGACAGCAGTATTTTGTTCTTACGACAACCTAAAAGCAATCTGTCTTTATTCAGCGTCTATAGTATATGCATGATAATTACAGACTACTTTTATAATTGCTTAGTCAGATTCCCTATCTAGAATTTCCTTCTTATCTGATATCTTGTAGACACTCTCTAAAAGGCTGCATCTCTGAGGTTTCCTTTTGATTTTAAAAATTAATGAGTTCAAGTAGAAATTTTGAATAGCAAGCCAAATAGCCTTTTAAAAAAAAAATTGTGAATGTCAATAAAAGAGGCCTCTTCTTTTTCATTCCTTAGAAGGTGAGCTCTTTTTCTTGCTATGTTTTGGGTTAGCCATGGAGGCCATCCCTACCATTCTCTTTGTAGCCCATTCCCAGGATGACTTCTGGTGCTCTGTAATAACGTGTCACCACATACGGAGTCATCATGAAGCTGGTGCCTGCAGTCCTGGCCAGTCCAAAGTCCAGAATTTTCAATGTGCAGTCAGACTTCACCACAATGTTACTGGGCTTTAAATCCTGCCAAAAGGAACAAAGCAGAAAAAGCCAACAATACTGAAAACATTATTTCCTTCTACCAAATTTGCATAAGTTGGTCAGTCACACTTATTGAGTACCTAGTACCTTTAGCATTGGGTTTAAGATGCTATAGAGAACTGAAAAGGAAACAAAATATATTATTTTTTTGTTTCTGCAAAACCTTTTTAATTTAATATAATCAATATTATCTATTTTATATCTCACAATGCTTTCTATCTCTTGTTTGGTCATAAATTCTTCCCTTCTCCATAGATCTGACAGGTAAATTATTCTTTGCTCTCCTAATTTGCATACGGTATCACCCTTTAGGTCTAAATCATGTACCCATTTTGAGATATTAGTCTATACCTAGTTTCTGCCATACTATTTTATGATTCTTTTGACAACCAATTTTTGAGTTTATTCTTTTTTTAAAAATGCCTTCAGGAGCATCTTTATATCCTGAAAACAAATTCACTGCTATCTCTATATTCCTTAAAAAAAAAATCAGAGCTCCTTCTGGGAAAGAAGGGCTTGTTTTCCATCCAATTGATTGTCATTCTTTCAGTTTCTCTATGTAGCCACATGGCTACACCTGACAGTTTCTATTTCTCATCAAGTGTTGAGAAAAGGGCAAATGAGGGCAGTTCACTTCATTCTGTGAGAAATCTATCTCATTTCAGTAGCACCTATAACCTCTGTCAATCAAATAACTGGGAAGGAAGAGACTGCTTCAGATGCAGCCTGCAGAAATTGACTCTCAAGGAGATGATGAATAACAGAAAATATGATCTCTGCTATAATCACTAGTTTTTTATTTCCTTTGTAAACATGGAAAAGGGTGCATGCTGCTTAGTCACAGATTGACTGGTGCTAAGAAAATCCGTAATTATTATTTGTTCCCTTCCCAAACATTATATCCCTTCTTTGTAATTCAGAGGTAACTTATTCGTCTTTAATAATTATGGGTTCTTACCCTGTGGATGATCCCGGCAGAGTGAAGGTGCTTGATGCCACATAACATTTGGTACAGGAGGTAAGACATGCGCTCATGATCCAATTCCATTTGAATTACCTGACACAAGTTTGCGTCCATCAGTTCCATCACAAGGTAACTAAAGAGTAAATCCTCGATGTTATAACCAGATTATGAGATGTAGAAATCAATTTTAAAAGCATGATTGAAATGCTAACACAATCATATTAATCATGCTGGAATCTTTTCTGAAATCACTGCTTATTTGAACTTTCCATTTCTTCTAATCGGCAAATGAAGAACATTAAAAAACATCTTTAAGAATGAAATTGTAGTAACTACCAGTACCACAAACCTAGGTTTGTCAAGAGGAGCACTGTTTTAGCTAATGCTGAATTCATTTCCTTGTTACCTGTCTCTTTCAATAATATCTACTTCTTAGCATTACAAACAGGAAGAAAAGTTAAAGTGGCTCCTTGTAGGAAAGTCTATGCAACACATTGAGGGCATGGCTCAAACAACTGAAGTAGGGGTGATGTCTACAATCAATTGCACTGAGGTAAGATTTTTATTTCTTTACCTCTTATCAAATCTTGATTTTTGAAGGTAAGGGTTCTCCCTTTTGGGAGCTTATAAAGCTCTGAGGACAGGCAAATTCTCCTAAAGAAAGCAGTCAAAGATTTTTTTTTCTCTAGTCCAAAGACTAAGAATGTGAGGGGCCCGCTTTTCTTTCTTTCTTTTTAATTAAATTTTATTTCGTTTTCCTAAAGATGCATCCTCTATATCCTTTTCATTCTGGAATATCATATTCCAAGCTCTCTGCTGCTTTTTAGAGGTGCCAGCTAAATCTTGTGTAATCCTGCCTCCTTGACAATTCCTGGCTGATTGTTGTGTTTTTTCTTTGACTTGTAAATTCTAGATTTGGGCTATAATATTCCTGGGAGTTTTCATTTTGGTGTTTCTTTCAGGAAATGACCAATGGATTCTCTCTAATTCTACTTTGCTTACTGATTCTAAGAGGTCTGAGCAGTTTTCATTTATGATTTGTTAAAAGAAGATGTCTAGACCAATAATTCTTAAATTTTTTCTTTGTTCTGTTTTCCAAGTCAATTGTTTTTGCTCTGAGTTTTGCTACTTTACATTTCCTTTTATTTTTTTTTTTTAGTCTTTTGGCTTTGCGTTAATTTTTCTTTTTCTTTTTGTCTCATGAAATCATTAGCTTCTATTTGATCCATTTTAGTTTTGGGGGAAATTTTTCCCTTGAGTAGGGTTTTGTTCTTCTTGTGCCAAGTTGTTAATTCTCCTTCCAAATCTATCTTCTATAGTTCTCACTTCTTTTCTCCTTTTTTTCCCTGCTAGTTCTCTTATTTGGTATTTAAACATATTTTTAGAAAATCTTGCTTCATCTCTCATAGGAATTTTGGTTGGATTTCTGTTCAAGCTGTGTTTTTCTTTGAGTCTTTGCTTGGAAGAGGGAGTCATTCTCTCCTTTGGGGTTTGTGTCCTTATCATCACGATGGCTTTTGATGATGGCATCCTTTTTTTGTTTGCTCATTCTTCCAGCCTACTTCTTGATTTTGGACCTTATGTTAGGGTTGGGCTCTGTGAGCCAGAATTGAATAGTGAATAACAGAAATGCCAGTTGGCACCTGCACAAGGTTGGCTCTGCCTCATTTTTATTCCCTCCTCTTTGCTTTTTTTTTTCATGAAGTTTAAAGTTCTGAGCTTTAAGCTAAGAAAGAGAAGGCAGAGGACACTCAGAAATGAATATTACAAAACTATTTGAAAAGCTCTTTTTAGTTCTTGTGACCATTAAACTTTTATGAATGAAGTTTATATTTAGAGTACCATAGTCATTTCTAAAAGGAAATTATAGTGGAGATTTCTGAAATAAGAATACAAAGCAAAGGTAGTGGCTCATTCGAGAGCTCCAAATGAAGGTATACACTAGAAACAGAGAAGGTATACATCAGTTCCAGTGCAGCCATTCTTAGGAGTACATGAATCAGCAGAAATATCACATCTCCCCCACATTTTCACAGCTTCCTATTTGACTCACTGTCCCACTAACAATAGCAGCTCTTCCAAACATTTTCATTCCTCCTCAAGCCTCCCACAGCTCCCCTTCCCCTCCCCCTACCTTCTCAGCTAAGAATTTTGCCTCATATTTCACTGAAAAAAATTGAGACCATTCACTGAGAACTTGTTCCCCCTCATCTCACATTAATGCCTTCCTCCACCATTTCCTCATCTCTGCTTCCTGACTTCCTAGGCTTCCTTCAAGTCTCTGCTAGAATCTCATCTTCTACAAGTGGGTAACTTCTGGACTGTTTTTATTGTGGTTCCCTCCCTCTGTTGATTATCTCCAATTTGTCATATATATAATTGGTCCATAATCATCTCCCCCATTAGACTGTGAGCATCTTGAGAGCAGGAACTGTCTTTTGCCTTTTAGCAGAGTGCCCAACACACAGTAGGTGCTTAATAAATATTTATTGACCAAGTGACTGAGTAGAGATTCTGCAACATACCAAACACAATGGGAGTGGACCCAACATCATCAGAAGACATCTGTGACCTTATAATATCAGAAGCATTAGCTGTCCCTTCAAGCATGTGCCCTGGTGAAATATTCTCCTTATTTTTGTGCCTCTCCAAAGTTCACTATGGCCACATAAGTTTCCTTCATGTGTGCCCTTTCATGCATGTTCCCTAGGTGTCCCAACTCCTTCACTGTTAATGTATCTATTTTGGGGAGAGTGTCCCTCAGGTTTATGCAGGAAACATTTTGTTTCCTGTATTGTTTCATTAAATGCCTTTATTTTAAATTAATTACACCTTCTGGCTGATTTGTAACAGTAAACATGTTGATGGGTTCTCACGAGGTTTACAGGGGGATACCAAACCTCAGAGAACCTCGAATCTGGGGGAGCTTGCCCAAGGGATCCACATGTCAGTTAGAGAGTGCCCCCTGTGCTATATAATGTGTCGGAGAGATATATTTGCTTTCTTTTCCTCATTCTTCCTAAATATCTAAGTAGAATAGCAAAATCAAAGGCTACTACAAGGTAGAAAAACAGAGAAAAGTCTCTTTGAAATATTTCTCTTACAATGAATGGGCACATTTCATAGTGACTGCTTCACATATTAATTTTATAAAGTAATTTCCAGTTAATAATCAAACCTTACTTTTATATAGGACTTTACAGCTTTCAAAAATATGTTTAGCTACTATCTTACTTGACTATCACAATAATTCTTTCAGATAGATAGGTCAGTCATTATTTCTCCCATTTTATAGATAAAGAGACTGAGACTCAGCTAGATCAAGTGACTTAGCTAAGACCAAACGTTGAATGTCATGAGTCATAGAGCTGGGAGAAAATTTAGCAATCATCTTTTTTTTTTTCTTAACAGGTGAAAATTGGGTCTAGAATTCCTGCTTCCTGATGCTTACTTACTTCAGTGTTCTTTGTCCTAAACAATAGAACACTATCATCATGAGTATTCTCCAAACACACACAGAAAAGCAGAACCATATGGAGATCATAATGTATTTGTTTCATTCAAACCCAGCCCTTCAACCTCTTTTCCATCTTCAAAACATAGTCTAGAAAGAACAGCACCTGCTTACTGATTAAGAATCATTGTCTTTCCCTTTTCATTAAGCTCTATATCTCCTATCATGTCTTGAACTTAATTACTATCTTTTACTTACACATCTTGGAACTCTTCCAGTGATTTCTGTGGTGTGAAGACATTTAATAAACTGATAATCTGAAAAGAAAGAGGCAAGACACTCACATTTGAAATCTATTCAACAAGAATTTTTGTTGTAAACTTTTTTTTAAATATGCACTCTACACTATGACCAAAAATCAGAATGTACATTTGAAAAGAAATAGAAAAACTCATTTCATGGAAAGAAAATTCAAAATTTCTCTATGCAATCACCACAAATTCTAAGTCCTGGAAGAACAAAAATCAGTTCTCCATGGACTTATGAAGGCAATGGATTTTTCCTTCAAAAGAACCACAGCGTGCTCTAGTTAAAAGGGTTATATGGGGAATAATCTGCTTCTCTTCTTCATGCTACACAACTTATACTAATGCTCCTGTGGAGTGTGTGGTATAGACACATATGTCTATTAATTGTTTCTCTTCTTGGATGATATCAATGGTTAATTAAAATGGGAAATTTATCAAAATGTGTCAAGGGCAAAAATTTGAGGTCAATTTTCCTTTCCTGTTTCTTGATTTTTGTGTTCTTTAGTTCTTTTACTAACTTAGTTTTAAGTAATTTTTTTTCTAGAATATAACACATTGATAAAGGTAATATATGGAAAAGTTATTTAAGGAGTGTGACCCTATACACCAGAGAATGCCAGATACAGACTCAAGCATAGAGCACCAAGAGTTATGAATTATCTCCTCTCTCCCACACTCGCATGTGTGACTCATTACCATGCACTGTGAATCCACTCTTCTTGCACTTCTGTGTGTTCTTGTAGGATAGTATGCCCTAGGCTTTTTGGAGAAATGTTTTGTACCAAGTGTTCTTTCTATACCTTCTCAGTAAATATCTTTTCTAAAATCTTTTTTTCTAAAAATCTCTAAAATTTAATCTGGCTGATATATTATTAAGAGGGAACATACCAGTAGGGACTCAGGAACTACACTGCTAGAAAACAAGCCTCCTCAATGTTCCCCCTAAAACTTTGAGAATAAGAGATAGCCACCATTAGGGATATCAACTGGATAGCACGAGTTGGAGGGGCAGCCAAAAAGAGATGCTACATATACTTCAGGAAAAAACCAGCACCTAAAATAAAATAATAAGAACCTAGTATTTTCATATAATTTTGGAGGATTTGCTACCAAATGGCTCCTTGAATAAGAGGTAGATTGCCCAGCTCCCACATGCATATTCCAGTAAAGGCCTGAAGTTCACACCAGACCAAATAAAAATCAAGAAATTCAATGAATCTTCCACTCCAGGACCGCACAAGAGGCCATCCAAAATTCTGAGAAGAGGCTACCAACAAAGGTAATGCCATTCCAGGGTAACCTCCCAATGTTTACAGATCAATAGGCCAGAGAAATATATATCCTGCAAGGCTTCCTATCTGGAGGCAGCAAGATTTAAAGGACCCTAAAAGAAAGCCCCATGGTTCTTGAAAAACCATGCCCTAGGGAGTAGCAGCAGGTAATGACTAGTACTGTGCTACCATTCTCAAAACAGGGGCTCTAAGATCCCTTACGCTCTGTCCTGAGAGACCAGAGAATGCCTTGAAGATCCAGCACTCTGAATTTCAAAGATCAAGGTAAGTCCCAGGAAGTGGACATGATACATTGAACTGAAGAGCCAAGGCAAACTGAAGAAGGACTAACTACTCCACCCAAAAGTGCATCTGGGATCTTGGCCCTGGCATGAAACCCCAAATGAGTAATTAAAATTCTGACATGAAGAAATTAAATACCAGCCAGTATCAATTCTTTTTTTTTTTTTTTGCAAATCTAGAGATTCTCCCCAAAAAAGTAAGTAGCTCTGTAAAAACTGTAAGCAAAGACTGAAAGGAAAAAAAATGGATTTTCCACAAGGACTCGATGAATAGCTAGAAAAAATGAAACATGAAATTTTAAAAAATAAAATAAAAGCTCTCAATTAAAGAACTGGAAGGAGAATAAAGAGTTTGGAAGAGAAAATAGTAAACCTTAACCAAGAATTTCCATGAAAATGAAAACAGATCAAACAGAAATCAATTACTCCATGAAAGAAAGCTTCCCTCCCCCCAAAAAAAGATTAGAAAAAAATCAAAAGATTGAAAAATGGAAGAAAATGCAAGATAGTTGATATAAAAAACGAATGACTTGGGAAACAAGTTAGGGAGGAATAATATAAGAATGAATGAACTTCAATGAAATCAATAGACAATCAATGAAAAAGCAGGATTAAAAAAAAGTTTGATCACCATGTTTCAAGAAATCATAAATGAAAACTGCCCAGATTATTTAGAACACGAGGGTAGAATAATCAGCTCATAAAAAAGACTCCTCCCCGCAAAATTCTAGAAATGTCATCACCAAAATTCAGAATTCTCACATTAAAGAAAACACCATTTTTTTATACCAACCATCACTGAGAATTGCATACAGATGAAAAGTTATATCAAGTATTACAAAAACTAATGAATGATTCTCAGTTATCCTCATACTCAAAATGTGCTATTGTAGCAGCAATCTGGACTATAAAGAATTGGAGAAAACTCTGTATAAGATGGTAGCAACTTAATCAATGATTGAAAAAAATTATACCTCATACTATTCTTAATGGCCTATCCATTACAGCACCATGTAGCATATTGTTTGCATTATAGGTAACATTCTAAAGCAGGTGTACATTAAAAAGTAGGAAGCTAGCAGATGGCGCTAGAACTGATGAAGAAATCTGTCATAGTTTCTATTGATGATGAAACTGGTATTATAAATATGGCTTTGAAGTTTCTGAGGCTATACTGGTCATATATAACAGAGTAATCAAAGAAGGTTAATTTCATTCTAATGGAATATCTACGATATTAATCGTTCAATACCACATAGTTTTTAGAAAATTTTAATACAAAAAGCCATCATGAGGGTAGTGAAATTCAATACAAAATACAGACAGGAAAAATGATCTTAAATTATGGGCACCATAGAGTAAAGTTGTTTCCCATACTTTTCTCCCTCTAATTTTTTTCTTTTTCTTAATAAACCAACTTTCCAGCCCCAACAGCAAAAGAAAACTCACATTTTTATGATTCACACACTTCATGAGGACCAGCTCCCTATAGGCTCGTTTGGCATGGGTTTGGTTCTGAAATGGTCTGCTGAGCTTCTTAATGGCCACATTTCTGTCAAGGACAGCATCATACGCAGCACTACAGTGATCACAAGCAAAACATAAAATGCAAAATTAATGACAAAGCAAATCGTAGGAATTATGCCTCTTAAATAATACATGAGGTGAATGGATAGACTTCAGCATGTGATCTCTAAGAAAACAGATGCAAAACATACTCCAGAGAAATTGTAAGAAATGTTTGCACTAGAACAGTGATCTGCATGAAGAAAAACATTCATGCTGTGTGTTGTTTAATTACAACTTGTTTTCCTCTCATTTTAAAATTTTCTTTTGCACCTATTTTGGCTTTATTTACTGTTTTTCTATTTTTAAAAACTGAACGTTGTTCAGTCATTTTTCAATCACATCCAACTCTTCGTGACCCCATTTGGGGTTTTCTTGGCAGAGGTACTGGAGTGGTTTGCCAATTTATTTTCCAGATGAGGAAACTGAGGCAAACATGGTTAAGTGACTTGCCCAAGGTCACACAACTAGTAAGTGTCTGAAGACAGATTTGAACTCAGGAAGATGAGTCTTCCTGACTTCAGGCCCAGCACTCTATCTACTGCGCCACCTAGTTGCTCCCAAAATTCAATACTGAGGTCAGTAATATTTTCCTTTTCTATTTTGCTAATGCATTATTTTAGGGACACAATTTTCCCTTTAAGGACTACTTTAGCAGCATTGCAGAAATTCTGGCATGTTGTCTCATCATTATAATTATTTCTAAGGTTGTTCTTTGACCCACTCAGTCTTAAAGATTTTATTCACACACGCAACTCATCCCCATTCAATAGAATCCAGTGGCTTCCTATTACCTGCAAGATCAAATATAAGAATCCTCTATTTCACTTTTAAAGACCTTCACAACTTGGCCTCTTCGTTCCTTTCCAGTGTTCTTGCACCTTATTCACCTTCACATAAACTTCAGTCCAGTGACACTGGCCTCCTTGCTAATCTCTATATGCTACTCTTCACCTCCCAACTCCTAGCATTTCCCCTGGATGTCCCCCACGCATGAGATTTTTCATCCTCATCTTAACTTTCTGGATTCTTTGGCTTCCTTCAAGTGTCAGTTGAAGTCCCACCATCTGCAAAAAGCCTTTCATGGTCCTCTTTAATCTAAGTGTCTTCCCTCTAAGATTATCTCCAATTTATTGTGTCTATATCCTATTGGTACATAATTATCTATATACTTTCTCCCTCATTAGACTGTGAGCTCCAGGAGAGCAAAGACAATTTTTATTTTTTGTTTTTCTTTGCATCTTTAGCACTTAGCAAAGTGCCTGGCACATAGTAGGTGCTTAATAAATGCCTTTTGATTTGACTCATTAAATCTCCATTTAGTTCTGTTTCTTTTGATTGTGTTCCCTGGACTAATTATTATTTTTTTGCATTATGGTCTATAAAAGATGTGATTTAACACTCATACTTTTTAACATTTATTTCTAATTTCTCTGTGCTCACACACACACATATTTTCACAGTGCCAAATATTGCTAAGTATGTATATTCTTTAGTGGTCACATTTAGAAGATGCCATTAATCTTCACACTCTAAATCTCCAAAGAGTTTATTCAGGTCAGTATTTTTCCTTTTGTTTATTTTTCTGTTAGATTTGTCCAGTGCTAAGAAAGAAACATTAAGGTGTCCTGCTATTAGTGTGTCTAGATGTTGTTGTCTTTTTTGAAATTCATTATGATTAATATTGTAAGGATAGTTCACAATTAGGAAAATAATTAATATAATTAATCATAATAAAAGTAAAAGCATTTAAAGTAACATGATGGTATTGATAAATACTGAAAAAGTCTTTGAAAAAGTACAGTGGTTATTTTTGCAAAAAAAAAATCTAAAAAGTATCGACATAGAGGGAACTTCAAAAAAATTTAATATTGAAAGGATTTACCTAAAACCAAAAGTTAGCATTATACATAATGGTGAAACACTAGAAACTTTCCAAATAAATAGAGGTGTAAATCAAGGCTATCTCCTTTCCCTGCCTCCCCATTATTTGACATAGTTATAAAAATGTCAGCAATAGGCAATAAGAGAAGAAAGAGAAATTAAACAAATAAAGAATGAGAAACAATATGCTATAGAAGACAGGATGCTAGAAAAAGTCCAGAAGATCTGATTTTAAATCCTTCCTTAGACATATGTAACCCTAAGCAAGACACTTAATCTCACTATACCTCAGTTTTACCACCTATAGAATGAAAAGGTTGGACTCAAGGTATTTAAGGTCTCTGCTAGCTCTAGTAGAGGTGGGGAACCTGCAGCCTCGAGGTCATGTGTGACCTCCTGGGTCCTCAAGTGCCACCCTTTGACAGAATCCAAACTTCACAGAACAAATCCCCTTAATAACAGGATTTGCTCTGTAAAACTTGGACTCAGTCAAAAGGCCGCATCCAAAGACCTAGAAAGCCACATGTGGCCTCCAGGCCGCAGGTTCCCCACCCCTGTCTAGCTCATATGACACTATGACAGGCAAAGAAAAGACAAGATTATCCCCATTTGCTGATGACAGCAAGTCCTTTACTTAGAAAAGCTTAAAGCAGGAAAGAAATTAGTTAAGAAACAGTTAAGTACAAACCCACAAATATCAACAGAATTTCTAAATCATTATTAAAAAAAAATCAGGAGAGCATAACAGAAAAGAAAGTACAGTGCAAAATAACCACTAAATCCATAAAAATATCTGTGACTAAATATAGCAAAATACACTCAATATCTGGATAAATATATTTATAATTATATAAAACACTTCTTAAAGAGATAAAGAAGAACAAGTTTCTGAAGGACTATCCAATGTTTATGACTGTGTTCTGCCAATAAAATAAAAATTAAGGTTCTTGGAAGTTATTTTGTAAAGTATTATGCCAATCAAACTGCCAAAAGGATTCATTATAGAGCTAGAAAAAATAATAAAATTATTTTGAGGAATCACAGATCTAAACTATCAAGGGAGATAATGAAAAAAGTTAGAAGTGAAGTGGGATAGCTTTTCAAAGTCTTAAACTAAACAAGAAATCAGTAATCATATAAACCATTTGGTAGTGATTAAATAAATGGAAAAGTAGATCAATGGAACAGACTACATAAAGGAGAATCCGCGATTGAACCAAATAATCCAATGTTTGATAAACTCCAAACTAGAAACTACCTAGGAAATAATATCCTATTTGACAGAAACTTCTGATAAAACTGGAAAACATTATTATCATCCCAATTTTGTTGTATTTTATTGACAAAAATCTATTTTCTCTCCCTCTTACTGCCCTTCCCCCATGGGTAAGAAAAAAAAGAAAACTAAAATGTTTCTAACAAATAAGCATAATCAAGCAAAACAAATTCCCACATTGGCCATATCCAAGAACGTATGTGTCATTCTACATATTTACTCTATCAGTTCTCTGTTAGGAGATGGGTAACATACTTCACTATTGATTCTCTGAAATTGTGGTTGGACATTGCATGGATGTGAGTTCTTAAATTCTTAAAATTAGTTTTTCTTTATAATACTGTTGCAATCATAAAATTGTTTTCCTAGTTCTACTCATTTCACTCTGAATCCTCCCAGGTTTCTCTGAAACCACTCCCTTCTTCACTTTTCATAGCACAATAGTATTCTGTAACATTTATATATCACAACTTGTTCAGCAATTTCTAAATTTATGAGCACCCCTTTAATTCACAGTTATTTGCCAGCACAAAAAAATTCTATAAATATTTTTGTACATATGGGTCCTTTTGCTCTTTCTTTGTTCTCTTTGAGTTATAGGCCTCATAGTGGTATTGCTTGGTCAAATAGTATACACAGTTTAGTGACTTTGGAGGCATAGTTTAAAATTGTTTTCATGAATCACAGCTCCATCATGCAACTGTGTATTACTGTGCCTGTTTTCCCACAGTCCCTTCCAGAATTTGCCATATTCCTTTTAACCTGATGGGTGTGAATGATTAGTGATTAATAGCAATTTCTCCATATAGCTATTAATAGCTTGCTTTTCTTTTCCTGAAAACTGCATATTCATATCCTTTGACCATTTTTCAATTTAGAAATTATTCTTATTCTTAAAAATCTGGACCAATTATTTACATAATTTGGAAATAAGACTCATCATAAATTAGATTGAGATCAATATGTTAAAACCGTCATAATAGTAACTATTACCTCAATTATGTAAGTAATTTTTCCCATCCTTCTTCTCCCTTCTCTTCCCCACTCCATCCATCCCCCTTATACTCAATGAATTCCTCTTCCTCTTTTTTTTACTATTCTTCTTTTAAGATAAGCAAGACATATGGGGCGGCGAGGTGGCACAGTGGATAGAGCACCAGTCCTGGATTCAGGAGGACCTGAGTTCAAATCCGGCCTCAGACACATAACACTTAACTAGCTGTGTGAACCTGGGCAAGTCACTTATTGTCCAACCAAAAAAAAAAAAAAAAGATAAGCCAGACATAAGAACTACTCCTAGGCCCTCTCTCCTTATTTGCTGATGATATAGTTTGAAAATCCTAGAGAATCAGCAGATACCAACTGAAACAAATTGTTTCAGCAAAATTTCAGGTTACAAAATAAACTTTCAATGATCAATTGCATTTCTATAAAATAATAACAAAATCCAAGAGGCAATAAGAGAAAAGGAAATACCATTCCATATGACTACAAAATGCACAAAGTATCTAAGGATCAGTCTACAAAAGTACATAAATTACTTGTATAAATTCAAAGTATTCCTTAAAGAAATAAAGAAGTTAAAAAACTTGAGCAAAATTCAGTGCTCATGGCTGGACCATGCTAATATAATAAAAATGACAATATGACCAAAATTAATTTATACTTTTAATGTTATATCTATCAAATTATCAAAGGGATACTTCATAATAATGACAAAATGATAATAAAATTCAATGGAAAAAATAAAAGATCTGGAATATCAAGGGGATGTTAAAAAGACAAAGGAATAAAGGGGGAAAGCACTCCAAAGTTATGTTATATTATAAAGCAGCAATCATCAAAAGCAAAAA